TGTCGAATTCTTATTGTAATTCGTTTGAATGRACACTGACAACATATATTTTGTTTAGTTTGGCTTGTGAGGCGATGGTTTTTGACGTCAATAAGAAAGGAAAGATATCCACAAAAACACTGTGTCGRTTTGACCAAAAACCGTCTGCGGGCATCGTGAACTCTGGTCGTCCCCACAAGGTATTTAYATYARAACAGCTACGTAGAWCTTTACTTTTGGAGTTTGACGATTGAAAGGAAATATCAACTAGTGCTATTCTGTAATGAAAAGTATTATCCAAAGAGTGTTTTCACTATGCGCGGCAATGAAATTAATTKTTAGTAGTTCTTTTCTTTATCGAATATTAGTCACTATTATTCAATTGGATAAATTACCCTATTTCATTATGATGTCACATCAAAATATTATCTATTGTTTTAAAGCTAAAAATCAGTTTGGTCACAATGTTCATTGGATCAGAGTGACTGCATATAAAACAATTGTAAATGAGCAATATTTGATAAATGACATACATCACCATACATTCATGAGGTTGAGTGAAGTCAAAAAACCCGTGAAATACATATTACACTAATACGTCACCTTATAGTACGCTCAGCATTGTTTCTCTGTTTTGTGTCTATCACATTTTAATGGTCAAGTTTTGTTTCTCGGAGCACTTGAGGAACAAATTTATTTTTTTCTATTGTTCTAATCGTTATCTAATCTTGTTGATCTGCAGTTGTCTTGTTCTGCCAACGGCAACACAATCCCTGAATACCGCTGGATGTTAAACGGTCGGTTCGTAAGCAGCTGGTCACGTGATGGGGTATATTCTGTCAAGACCTTGACTCAGGATGATGAGGGAAGCTATTCATGTCTTGCCCGTAGTGCCGCTGGTTTGATTCAATCTGASCAAGTAACGCTCACTGTTTATGGTACGTATGCACTGCGCATGCGAAAATCAAGAGAAACATGGAAGATGCAATCRTGCTTATACATATTAAACAAGGTATTCTAAAATACTCTTTCTCTGATTCAAAGATGTCCCAGTAGTGATCGCGCATCCAGAGAACTCCTCAGTATCTATTAAAGGAACARCAACCCTGGAATGCCTGGCTAAAGGTGACCCAGAACCAAGCTACCAATGGTACAAGAACGGAGCGCTTTTACCACCAAGTGATGGCATCGCTTCAACAACCGAACCTAAGCTAGTTATAGAGAACGCTATCCCACAAGATGAGGCCTGGTACCGATGTCTYGTGGCTAACCCGGCCAAGAGAGACGGAGTGTGGTCTAAGTCTGCATTCCTGAAAGTGTACGGTATGTAGGAAAATAAGAGCGAATGTCATACATTGATAATCATAAAATCAAAAGTGCCTTTAGCGAAAATCAGTTCAAGATAAAAAAAATTAAGAGAAAACTTTAAAGAGATAAACACGAATGAAGATTTTGAAGAGTATTTGATTTACGAATTATGTCATTTTTGGTTCATTTTTAATTACTGGATATTTTCAAATTATGTTTGTCAATACAGTATAAGAAAAGGTAATGAGCTTTGTTTTGCTTTTGTTTACTTGTTTGTATGTGTTTTTTGTTTTGTTGTCTTTTGGHTATAGATATGCAAAGTGGACGTTAAGTAAGCTTTTTAAAATACCGATTTTTACGGTTGCTTATGATTTTTCAACAGCCCCAAAAGCCTTGGTGAACCTTGAGATCGCCGTCAGTAAACCGCATCCAGACAGAAGATGTCACGTGTTTGATGTTGAAAAATTCAAGGTAAATACAAACACCACGCTCATCCCAGCCTTTTTTAAACACACAATACTTTCAGAGTCTGAGAGATGWCTTTGATTAGTCGGTTGTCTTAATTCTGGAATCAGTAGGAATAACTGCCAATTATTCACAGTGTCATCTGAATAGATACAATAAACTAATAATAATTATATCATATATATATTTTTTTCTTACTAAGTCGATGGTGTGTTATTTTAGTCGATGCTGAATAAAGTTGTCGAGGCACAAGCAACGTTTACCAATATTTCTGCTGATGGAATGTGTAAACCCGATCCTTGCGGTGATTGTCAAAACGGTGGAATCTGTGAAAAACAAGAGAATGGTGACCACACTTGTGTATGCGCACCCGGATGGACCGGAAGYCAATGCACGGTTGACGTTAATGAGTGTCTTCGAGGTACGTTATGTTACCTACAATAATCATGAGTAGATTCCTATCACTGCAACAGAACGTATCAAGGCTTGTAGAGGACCAGAGTGATCAAACACTTTATACAAATTTGTTCATACTTTAGTATGAGATCAGTATAGTAAGAATATTCATCTGGATAAATTTAACTAACACTATATTATTTGTTTTCCAGTTCCCTGCCTCAATGGAGCTTGCCAAAATAAAGACGGAACATACGAGTGCGCATGTTCCAAAAACTTCACCGGTAAAAATTGCAATCTKAAAGAAAACGCATGCGCAAACAACCCATGCAATAATAGCCATGTATGTGTGCTGTCTGAACTGGACGTCAATGGCTTTAAATGCGTTCATGAAGACGAGCAAATAGAGATGACTTATAAGCAACCTGTTGACAAGAGTAAAAGTTTTGATGTTGAGAAAGAAATTGAGGGTTTGATTAAATCTGCTCCTAACTCAAACGTGGATATTACTACGGTAAGCAGTTGCAAGTAGTATATAATGATCAATATAAACCATGTTCAGAAGGGGTTTAAAAAAAAACGAATCAACTTTACCAATGAGATAACAGTACTTCATTCTAGAAATGGCAATAGTTTTACATGATCAAACGTAATTGATATTTCAGAGACGAAGGCGGAAAAGAAACATTCAAAGACCTGACTATGGCTCATGCGCGGTGCGAATAACATACTACTCTGATAATCGTGTCCGGTTCGTCCTACTTTGTCCRTCAGGTGTTAATGTCACCTTCAAAGAAACAACTCACTTTGTTTGTGGACTCCTATTTAAACAACGTACAAGCCATTCTTGTGGAACTCAGTCTGCTCTGGCGACTCCGGTACCACCAACAACTTACGCACTCTTGCCACCAATGAGGTAAGCGGACATTTCCCCATTGGAATGGGATACTTATGAAATARAACAGACATTATGCAAGTTTGTTGGCGATTAAATCACAAACTACAGTATATTCTTTGAATCTGTWAATGAAGTCAGTAATGGACTTGTCATGGATAACGAGGGGCTTTTTATAAAGGAGGGCAGGGATGATCACCGWAATAGTAAGAATTGACCACAATACGTATCCGAGTATTRGGGTGARGGCCATRGTARCGMTAAATATCAGTCCTAAAAGACAAGTCARAATCGTCTTGGGTCTTTCTCAAAAAATGGCGGCTTATTTATTGTTTGGCCTAAGACAAAAGCACCCYTGAAATATTAAATTAGATGATTCACTTTGTTAGAGTATACTAAACTCTTGATTTTTTTATGATTTGAAATAATTATTAATAGTTTGCTATTGTTTATTCCAGGGTTAAAATCCTGCTTTTCGCACGTGACGGCTCCAATAAAGACATTGGGGGTACTGACATGATCAGCCGTCTCAATAGTGAAGATTTCAAGCGGGAAATKGGAAACCAAGGAATAGAGTTTGTAAATGCAAAACGTGGTACGTTWTAAAATCCTGCATATCAGTATTTCATGGCCTGGTGTATAAGTATATTTTCTCTTAGTATCCACAAAACTATTGGCTGTCACAAATCCAGCATTCTGATTGTCTTTTCATGATAGACTGTGCTCTGTCATGAGCGAAAATAGTCGACAAATGTCGAAAAATATTGTCTCATGAAAAACTACCTCTTAATCTTAAATTAATGCCTTTTCCATACCTGGAGGTTTGGACACGAGTCTTTCAAAGACTACCCAGCTTAATTAGTTTGTGCATGGGACTCTTTAAACTAGAAGTCAAGTATTCAGATTGAGATCGTATGCAAGTTTGGTTTGAATCAAATCCTGTGAAAACGAACCAATTAGAAAACATTCTAACAAAGAAATGTATGTGTCCTAACAACCATACATGTCTTTGTAAACTCAAGAACAGCTAGAATGTTCATATKTTGTACATCTCTTAATATTTATCCAAGTTAAACCACAAGTTCGGTTTTATAAAGTTTGCTGTAGTCTTTCATTCAAGATGCGTTCACTTTTCAATCAAGAATTAACGAAGAACCAGTCCCGGCCAGACCTCTCGGTATGGAAAAGGTTAATGGCATATTAATTCCTAGTCTTCTAGTCTCACCTCAASGTCCAATTCTTAATTATATTGAGTTTTCACTACATTGAATAAAATTTTGTGTTTTTCTTTCAGTGCAAGGTGATTCCAGCAAACAGAGAGGTATGTAACACCGACAATGACATAACTTTAGTCAAGAGTCATTTTCTCTTGCTTTAGTTCAATTCATGCTGTTTTCGTAAATAACGTAGTTCCTCTGTCAAATGCTCAGCTACTCTGGCGTTATGCTCCATTGTCCCTAACGTGTTCTGATTTGTTCCCTTAATAGGCGAAGAGAAAGCCAATGTTGGTCTTATCGTGGGCTTGGTTTGCGTTGCTATAGTAGCAGTCATAGCTGTCATCATTGGTCTTGGATATGTGTACAACAAAAGGTATCATGTGATGTATTTTWATTGAACTATCAGTATGACCAGATGGAAMAAAAGACTGCTYTTCTTTTCATAAAGCAATCGCAGCCGCCAGCGGCTAAAACAACGAKTATATCAGAGAAGGGAATATATTGTTGTTGTTGTTGTCAAGAGGTGTTTTTCTATCAACTTTTGCATGTATTTGCTACARCGATGATTACTCAACCAKAGTAACACCTGCCTCCATAGCCACTATACATCCTCAAGGCTYCTTGACMCAATCTGTTGGCGGATAAATTTGCTTTTGCTCAAGGGTTTTTTCATTGTTCTTTGTTGGCAGGCGTAAACACCAGACCCTCGTGAACGTAGAAGACCGAGCGGTGATGAGTCGAGGAGACAGTCGAAAACACATGTTACAACGTAATGTGTCGACTAAAGACATCACCAGATCAGAGAAGAAGTTTATCAATCAAGCTTTTACAGATTCTATKTACGAAGAGGGAGAGGATGACCAGTTTATGGTTGAAGTGAAACTTCCAACTAAGAAACCCACGTCAAAGGCAGTGGCTGCTGTAAGTACCCATAATGCATTACCCACACAACGTTAAAAAATCGATTTTGATTAGTTACAACCTTGCAAACAATTACAGTAAAGATCTGGTGGTCTAGAATCCAAAAAAGGTTTGGAATCCGAAATTCAGAATCATTTTGGAATCCGGAACCCAGCCACTATCAATCTTACTTCGATCAGAAATCCGAGCTACTGGGATCTGGAAACCAGACCACGRTATTATTTGGAATCAAACCATATTCCCGATTATCTCACCAGGAGTTTTGACTTTCMATTCCTCACTAAGTGTTAATTGCAATGTTCTTGTATTCTTTAGCTTTGCGAGGCCCCTTATTACTTCGACAAGATAGCACCAATAGAGGCAGAAATGCTCCTTGACGATAAGGTCCCCACTGGAACATTCCTTGTACGGAAAGGTCTTCAAAGCGAAGAATATGTGCTGACAGTAAAATGTCCCGATGGAGGACCTAATCACAGACACCTCATTATCAAACATAACAAGGACAAGTTTGAGGTCCAGTTCGGTTCCATGCCCCTGTCACTTGACTTTGACACAGTAAATGACGTCATCGATCATTTTCAAAATACGCCAATTGAATTTGGAGGTGATGCCCCCGATGTGGTGCTCTCGGATGGCTGTAATAAAACGTTAGSATAGACAGGGAAAAATAAGGATTTACTACTAAAAACGATAAACACCATACTACTAACAACCCAAAGCCTAATAGCAACCCCAGCAGCCCTTACTAGACTTTTTAATGAAAAGTGATTTTGAAAGTGATGAATAGTGAACTAAGCCCATTTAAAAAAGTCATTAYGTCAGTTTTAATCAAAACTTCTTCAGGTTTGTAAACATCAGAATATCGGTTCCACTTTACTCAATACTGAATACCCAATCCTACTGAACGTAGTACTACATAGATTTTAAACTTGCCTRTCACTGAAAGAAAAATATGAACCAATATATTGTCAATCGAATTTAACCATTTGACATTTCGCCATGGCATCTTGAAAGTTAGTCGAGCCTTTGCATAGTATTGATCGAGATCGCGATTGAGCTTGCAATACGTCTACGTACAAAAATCGTTCACATATTGGTGAGTTTTCTAATTTTGGGAATTCATTTTTTGTATTCGATTCACAAATTTGAACTGCTAAAAAGGATAATAACGAAGAGGATATCTTGGCTGGAAAACTTGGAAACAAGGCGGCGACATATTTTTGCAAAGTTTTTGATGCATATGGAGTTTTACGCACTTTTACCAAATTAACCACGTTACACTCCCCCATGACATTGCAAGCATTGCCTCGCTCTGTTTGGTGCAATGGCTCAGTTAACATGGACTATTTTCCATTCCTATGTCATTTTTATTTGATTTTTTTTCTAAATCAAATTCACTTTGAAATTTTAAGTGAGTGGAGGCTATTTTTAAACTGTGTTTAATATCTGCTAAAAGCTAGCGTCCGGAAATTGGCCTTCAGATAGGTTTCATAAGATGTGCAGCTATGTCTATTGTTAGTAATCGGAACAGTAGTATAACTTAGTGTTRGGCCAAACTTGACGACAACAGCCTACTCCATAAATCGCTTTGCTATACTTTTATTGTAAATACGATGCTTGTATAATTATATTACAAATTAGCCAAATAAATGTTTTTAACAATTAAAATTGCTTCACTACTTCATCCACTTGAAAAATTTAAAACGCGCATCTTTATTATTAAATGTCCCTCGTTCCACAGAAGAAGAATTGACGTCCCAAAACCAAAATATTTTTGACTCACCACAAGTCGTAGCGGAAGGAAACAATATCTTCCACTAGTCCGCATTTATGTTTCTTCTTCTTTTCAAATCATCCAATGTTGCTCTGTGTTGATTCTGCAAGACATATGCAAGCGTAAAAGAGGGATGAATAGAGTCAAACAAGCCTTGTTCCTCCAAATATAAGCAGTCTTGCAAAGCGACTGAAACGATTTGTCTGGTGTAGCTTGCAGAGCTTGAGCTGCTTGAGCCATATCAACAACGTAGCCGATAAAAACTCACCTAAATTCCTTTAATACTAAGAAAGCGCTTCTCTTCGACAAAAATACTATACACCACGCGACGCCATAACTGTCATATGTAAAACGACGCCGTCGAGGTCAATTGCTATTTCGACTGTGCTGAATTAAGAAGCCAAGCCATTTTATTTTCTATATACGGGTCACTTCACTCCACCACATAGAAAACGTTTACATTGTAGTATACAGACAACACACAGGAAAGAAAGCTCCGAGTCATAACTTTGGATGCATGCCTTTTCTGYCTCTCTGTCGAAAACGCTTTCCCTGATGACCGTAACCGCTGAATACAAGTTTCGACGGCGCTAGCCTCCTCCGCAGGCATCCCTAAGAATCACGGGATTCCTGTCTTTTTTGGGAGCCAAGAGGGAYAATCCTCGTACCCAGAGCCCACATTTTTGCCATCCAGCGGATGACAATGCGTGAGAGACTCTGGAGGAATCGACTGGTTTTCCGTCGCAAATTATGCAAATGAGGTCAAATTTGTTTTCTGCGTTTAGAGTATTAAGAAGGTTTAGCAAACAACTTAGTTTAGAAACGATATTTACACATTTTTAAAAACAAGTGTGTGAAAACATGTGTGGTTATGCGAAAAAAAGGATGATTTTCTTGACTAATGAGGCGAGAGCGCGCTGACGACTTGAAAAACCGGCACTTGAAAGCAATGCGTAAGTACAAAATACGGATTGAAAAGGCTTAATAAAGCGAAACTGGTATCCGTAAAATTCCTGGTTTAAATCTTGTGAAAGACAGAAGAACAAAAGTTAAACTTTAGATACTTACACAACATGAGATTTTCAAGGTCTTTCGAAATCAAAATAAGGAATATTTCAAAGAAAGCAATGCGCATTCGCGTCATTTTCAACCAATCACGAATCGAGAAAAAATTGAGTCCTCCATAGTCTCTCACGCATTGACTTCCGCTGGATGGCAATAGTGCGGGCTCTGGGTACGAGATTGAAAGACGGAAAATAAGGTCGAGTGAGCCAAAAGGAGGAAAAAAGAGCTGCCTGGTTCGGAGGTTAGGATTTACGTACGTGTACGCACACTCAAAAACATAACGTTGCAATCTCGTACCCAGAGCCTGCGGTCTCTTTAGTAACAGGCTAACTCTCTGGTACCTTAGTTACTGACAAATGATATGTTGTGATTGCTCAGCCGAAATGCGGAAGTTTGTAAAATGAATTACTGTATTGGCAAAATTCTTTTTGTGTTCGTTCATTAGAATTTCTACTATGTCACCCGAGTCTCCTCTCGAATAAGCATCTTCCAAAAGAAAAGTACTGTGTGTCTGTTGGAGAGGTTTCGATTCTTTGTTATATCGAGAATCAARGCTTGCCGGAATATGCGGCAACAAGCCTCGCAAAAGGACAGCTCCCTTTCCTACTTCGTCGCACGAGTCGGCTAGCCAAGATTATGCGAAAAAAATGTGTATTCCAAATGAGACAAATTTTTAGTTAGGTGCAGAACTGGCCTGTCWGACTGGTCTAATTGGAGTACATAAGGCCTTTCTCAGTATTTTCAGCCATTTTCAAAGTTTTTGATTGAATAATGGATAAAATTTGCAAACTTGATTTTTCTAACTGAACATGAATAATACATAATATGACATTTTCTCAGGTMTGGCCAGGCAGTTCTGACAAATGGAAACCACCATCCAAAGAGATATGCTTCTTCTACGTTGATTTATTAGTTACCGAGRGCTTTCGGACAACTTGTCCATCATCAGGGCAAAATGAAATTACTATGCGTGCGCGAGGATACAAATGTAAACAACACTATAGTAACATTAAATCTCAACCTTAGTGTTCTAACTGCGCTCCTGATGTCTGTTATTTCAATGCAAGCGCAGTATGTTACTTGGTTTGCACTGCTGCGCTCTCTAGAGCAGTTATGTTACTGTGTTGTTTGCATTTGTATCCTCGCGCACGCATTGTAATTTCATTTTGCCCTGATGATGGACAAGTTGTTCGAATGCTCGGTAACTAATAACTCAACGTACTAGAAGAAGCATACCTTAGTATTTTAAATCCTACGTACGATAACGTTTTAACAAGAGTCTATTTTATCTCTATTTAGGAAMGTCATGGATGGAAAATTACTTTGATTCTTTTTGATAAATACACTTTTGTCATAAATAAGATGGGTATAATTATATTACAAATTAACCAAAGAAATCATCTTTTGCTTCTTTACATCGCTACTTCGTCCATTTGAAAAACTTRCAACGGGCATCTTTATTAGTAACATGTCCCTCGGGCCTTGCACAACAGAAGAACTGACGTCCGAAATTAGGACCCTTTTTCTTGACAGTCCTTAAAACACAAGGTTCTTCATGTCCTGGACATAATGGCGCGGGTGGTGGTCCCTTTAGGATATTTTTCCAGAGAGAAACCTCGGCTTTTCGATTGACGGATTTTGGGGATATTTCGGATGTTGGAAGACCGTTTTCCGTAGAGTTGGGAAAAGCCGAAGGAGATGACTCTCGAGAAGTACGCTGTGAATCACTACTGTTCATCGATGCGGTTGACTGCGGACTGTTTGGTAAGGAATCACTTTCTTGCTCGCTATAATTGAAATTGCTGCTTATCGGATTTGACTTTTTACCAAAGAACTGAAGAAGACTGTTCTGTTGACGTGGTTGAGATTTGACACGCTTTGCTTGAGGATTTCCACCGAAGTTGTTCGCTCTCTTAACTTTAGTTGTTACTAGTTTAGTTTCTTTTTCTTCTTCTCTCAGCCTTTGTTCTTTCAAAGGCTGTACAACAACTTTCTTGTTGAAATAAGACGCCAGCTTTTGTTGCTTTCCAGAAAACTCAGGCATAAATCTCGTGCATAAGCCAGGCGGTCGCTGGGCGGGAATGAACTGACCACTTAATAAAGCGACCACAGGGCAGTGGTCGGACCCTTCCACTTCGCGACGAATTATAACGTCGAGAAATTTCTGTTTTATTAACAGGATATCTGCTAAAATATAATCGAGTCTTCTTCCATAGTTTGTTTGTCTGGCTCCAGTTGACGTGCACCAGTTTGTATAGGCATCTCTTTGGTTAGGATGAATGTATCGAAACGAATCTACCAGTGTTCCCTCCAGTGAAACTTGTTTTGCTTGCCTATCGGGTTTTTCTTCAGTCTTTATAGCGTGTTTTTCTAGATTTATTGTCTGTGTGCACTCAGAAGTCTCTTTGTGAACTATTCTTTTATYGCTTAGTGTAATTTCCTTCACAAACTGGTTCATCCATACTCTGCTTGGATGAGCGTTAAAGATTTTCTGAGAAAAAAACAAATTTGGGGTCAGTTTGACTTTCTTTCATTTCAATGTGTTACATTAAAGGCATCTTGCCCCAGTTAAAGCGACATGGTCCATCAGCATTCGATGCATCCTTGTGTTATAATTTCATTTCAATGTGTTACATTAAAGGCATCTTGCCCCAGTTAAAGCGACATGGTCCATCAGCATTCGATGCATCCTTGTGTTATAATTTCATTTCAAAAACTCATTAATTATTCATGAGGTACTCAGCCAATCCCTGATTGTAATTTGTACCACGTGAAGTAACTTGAAACCAGAGGAAGTACTCGTACCTTGTATTCTACCTTATTTCCAGTTACTTCTACCTTTTTCAAGTTACTTCTACATTATTTCCAGTTGTTTCTACCTTATTTCCAGTTACTTCTAGAGTGCAAGTCACATAAGCATGAAACAATTCTTAACTATGTAGTGCTAAATAAGATTTAGTTATCAACTAACTAAGAATTGAGAACAATGCTACAAAGGAATTTAAATAATTGGCATTGTGTTTATGCTTTGTTGAATTCTTAGTAAGTTGATAACTAAATCTTATTTAGCTATACATATTAAGAATTGTTTCATGCTTATGTGACGTGCACTCTACCATGTTTCCAACTACTACTAGCTAATGATAATCAAATTATTAGAAATAATCACTTTAACATTAATTTAGTGAAAAAAGGTCTTTGATACATGACTCCCTCACGACTCGATCCCCTAGCTACCGTCCAGTCTATATGCGCCGTCTTATACCATTACACCACCGAGTTTCTGATGCGATTCCTCGGAAGATAACATACTTATAAATCTTATGGATTAGGCTCATAAGAAATACCATGAATAGCAGACAAAGACAATTTGAATAGCTTTTGTTTCAGAAAACCGTCCGGGAATTGAAGAACAAGAAACGGTGCTTCATGTATTCAAAATTATGAAAACTGAAAACCTTAGTGGAGATGCAATAAATCAATATATTTCTGTTATATGTATTTCCTTCTAATTGCGCGGACTTTGAAACCCCGTCAAGTCCTCATTGTCGGCCTTTAAACATTACTTCTAATAATGTTATTGAAAAATTGAATATCGGCTACAATTTCATCGATTAAAATTATCAGGTAACGTATTCTTCGTTTGCATGTTAAGTCATAGATCCAAAAAATAATAATTTAAGGTATCTGGATACAGTTGTTTAGAACACCGACCGGGACGAAAGAAACGGGTCAAAAAGTAATTTAAGTTGGTCAGATCGTAATAATGTTTTACTACATGATTAACAAGGGATTCAAATTCATATTGAGGAAATTTTTGGAAAATCGGAWTTRATTTATGCGTTTTATGGGGAMATCCAGGAAAATGCTTTTACAGCTATTTCAAACAAATTAAGCCTATTTTTTCCGCGATATCTCAGGGAAATAATATTAGAGGTATTGCCTAACTATAACCAAAGTTTGGTCGAAATTCATCGAGAAAAGACAGCATCATGCGGTACTTAACTTGGAGCAAGAATTTTCAAAGAATAAGAGCGTATACAAAATCAAAAATTTACATTTTATTTTGCATCAAAGATATATTGACCGATTTCTGGAAAAGAACTTCCCTATCATATTGCTACGTTCATGCAGAGTTTCGGCACTGTACACTAATTCGTTAGAGAGTTAATGGTATGGAGCAAAAGGTATGTTTTTAGTGTATGGTAGCTCTTTTGATACAAACAGACTCTGACTGTCTTAACTCGAAATCGAATTCTAGAATTTGTTTTAAATTTGTTGTCCATAAAGCCAAAAACCTCTYAGTGTTTATGCATCTCACTGATTTTGAATTGATTATTTACAACGGACGCAAGAATTTTTTTTAAAACGTACATTTTGCATCAGCGATTTCGCCGTTACATCGCAATTTATGCAAGGGTATTAGTTGTCGTACTCCATTGTTTAATTGGACAAAATACCTTAAACTTAATTTCCCATGAAATCGATTTTACTCTAAAATAAAGTTTCGAAAACTATGTTTCGTGATAATTTTTGAACTTATATGCGAATAATTTGATTCACAACGTGTTTTATTTGGTAGCCAAAGTCATGTCACACAACGTAATGGTGTAATGGTTTAAGACGGCGCATGTAGACTGGACGGCAGGGGATCGAGTAGTGATCGAGGGAGTCCTATATCAAAGACCTTTTTTCACTAAATTAATGTTAAACTGATTATTACTAATAATTTGATCAYCATTAGCTAGTAGTAGTTGGAAWTATGGTAGAAGTGTTATAAGACAAAATTAGCAAATCAATATTCATGAACGTTTTCTAGTAAGTTAYTCCCTAGGTTACCATAAAGTTCCACCTGCGTTCTTGCATTAATAGAACTTATATTTATTTTGACATAATTTTGATTAGATATAAAATATATATGTGTCTCGAACATAACTTAGGTTATTATTTTCGTAGGTTTTCTATACTGTCTTGCTTAGCGTTATGTACCCCTAACTAAGCCAATTAGTCACTGCTTGTGACTCTTTAGTTGTCACTTTCATTTAATCCCTCTTTTTAATTTCGAATATTCCATTACGCTGTCAGATAAGAACTATAGGTTTGACAGTATAACGAGACTACAAGGCACCTTATTTCAGTTTCCACATTTTCATCTAGGATATCCCCACGTGTCTTATAGCACTGTAATATTACGCCAATTTCAGATAGACTCTTTTTCAAGTTTAGTATTAAATATATTTTGATCCAGTACCGGCTCTTCCTGAGTAAATCCCACAAGTTACAAGACAAGAACCCCTGTAACAGAAGTAACTGGAAATAAGGTAGAAATAGCTGGAAATAAGGTAGAATACAAGGTACTTTCTCTGGTTTCAAGTTACTTCACGTGGTACAAATTACAATCAGGGATTGGCTGGATACCTCATGAACAATTAATGAGTATGAGAAAGAATAATAAAGAGTAATTACTTGCGTTTATCACGATGTATCTTTATTTTCAATTATAAACAAAACCTGGCAAAATCGGTAAGAGATGTCGGTCGACCAAGGCCCTTTGATATCATATCACGGCATAAAAAATAATTTATCAATTCATTTATTAAACACAAAATATGAAATAGTTACCAGATCACCAGGGTCGCAGTTGTCAATGGGTTTGTGTGTCAAATTGAGATCTCCAAGTACTATGACGTGTCTAAAAATCAACAATATAAAGTTACAAAATTAGTCTCTATGTCCTATTTATTCTCTTTGTTTATMTATTTATTTCCATTATTACTTATATTTCATTTGCTTTCATATTTTACTATTTTTTTGTATTTCAATGAGTGCAATTAATTCCACTTCTGACCAGAATTAATTGTAAGCTGTTCACGGATGGGCCCCAATATTTTAGTCCGTCTGTCTACATTGTAGTTTCTTGCATTGTTTATCTTAGCCAATAAACTTCGGATGAATTTCACAATTTACCGAGTTTTGTTTGTGACCTTTTCCCTTTGTTTTAGCTGACCATATTGCTCTTGAACTACTTTCGGTACATTTCTAWTATAGTAGAGAATGTTTTCTATCAAATTCTGGTTGTTCCGCAAAWYGTGTAAAATTCTCGTGATGCAAACTTCACTTCGTATCAACAAGGACCAATCAGGTGCTGTGTTACATGTGCGCGCGTTGTGATTGGTTGTCTAAAAAATAGATTATCGGGACATCTGGTGTTGGCGATATTAAAGGGCGAGATGTCCACTTCTGGTTACTTCTGGGTAGGCTCATTGTCTCACTGAGTTGCAAATATACTTTTTTCAATACTGTTTTTATCTAGCTGCGAAGAAGCCGTTCGCCAGACATACYCTACAAACAGCCAAAGTGAAAAACCCATATAATAATGACCAAATGTGCAATACTTTTTCTCTGCTTTCTCATCTTTCACGTCAGTCGTCATTTCTTAGTTGCATCGCAGTCAAGATGTTCGCTTCGTTTCTCATCTGAAAGCGGTATCGAACTTCAAGGGTTCGTTTACAAATCGTTTGCAGACTCAGAATTAGGGAGCTGCTTTTCCAAGTGTTTGAAAGACGGTGTTTGCCAGTCTATCAATTACGATACTCAACTATTGCAATGCCAGTTCAACAACAAAACAAGAAGAGGTCACCCAGAGAAAGTCCGTCCAAATAAGCACGGTGTATACATGGAAAATCCCAAAAGAGGTAAGCCAAAAATTCCTGAAATAATTTTAAACATACAGCATTATTCTGGTTGACGTCATTACGCAAATCGTCTMTTTGACGAGAAAATGTTTAGCTTTATTTCAACGTGGGGACGTGAWGGWCAAGTAGTTAAGGCATTTGGTTTCGATTCCAAAACCGAGCGATCACGTAATGTCCATTAGGAAAGACACTGAACTCTCCACCTAGTTACCGGTATTGCTGGGTGATAGGAGTGCCGCTCACCCTACCACTATTGTAGAAGCCACTGAAAAGAGTCTCATCGGTCGCCATCGACTGTAGTCAAAAACTTACTTATTGACGAACTCGATTGCGTSATTCATCACATTTCTCGTTTAAGGCCCGTTTACACTTGCAATTTTTGCAACGAGATTGTCGCGCTACAATAGCCACTTTGTTCTCCCTGCGATTGTCGCGGCGATCAAAAATCGCTGCAAGTTGCAGTTAAATTCCAAAAAATGTTCGAAACTCAGGCGATTGTCAAACGACAATCGCGCTGCAAAAATTGCAAGTGTAAGGACCTTTATAGGGTTCAAAACTTGCCTTTTTTTAAAAGTTAGAAACTAATTGTTTCCCATATAAACTCTGTAAAAAACATCTCCCGTAAGTGACCATCTCTTGTAAGCGACCACTTTTTCCTGATCACGAGGTGCTCGCTTACGAGAGAGTTGACTGTATACTAAGATAAGATGCCGGTTTGAAGCAGTATTTTCGATAATTGTGCAGCGATGTTGAGATGTTGCTAGACCATAGGTTCGCCAAGCTTATTCAAAATATCCGAAATTATTAAAACTAAAAAAGTGACTGCACAGTTTCCTGTAAAAATTCATGTTTGGATTAACTCATTAATCACACTTCAACTGGTCATTAAGAAGTTCAACTTTGTAAATGAAACGATTTTAGCTTTGTACGAAAGCGGTGCTCAAAAAACGAAAAACTAATCCGTCATAATAAAGTAGAAAAAACAGTCCTTTGGTCCGTTCCATTCCATGACAAATGTCATTAAAAATCAACCCGGCTAATGGATTTTTTCATACATAATTTATCAAAAACGTACCGGGTACGTTAACTTAACGTACGGCACTTTTAAAAATATGGATTGTGTAAACGTCAGGCAATCATTTTTAGTTTTCGAAAAATCGTCGGAACAACCGTAATTTCAAGAAGAGACAACTTACGTCATATCAGTAGTACATGCACTTCTTGTCATAATTTGTTGAAAAGTTTTGTAATGGGGAGTTCATCAATAGAGACTTTTAAAAGCAATCCCTAAGAATTCACCTTACATTTGCTCAGAATTAATGTAAAGTTTACAAAAAACAAGCCTTAAACATTACGATTGCTGTCTCCAGCAATCCAGGCATGTGTTCCATATAAATTACAGGCTCAAATATTCCTTTGACTGCTACCAAAAAAAGGTTTATAAGTGCATTTTTAAGTCATTTGCTGCCATAGAAGCCCCTAGGACTGCATCATTAAGCTCGACTAGGCGGCAAAGACAGCCTTCTGGAAGAAATCAGAGGTGGAAAGAGATTTTTCGAAGAAGACAAACCGAAGGTCTCTTTGAATTGTTGTCGTTAGAGAAAGGTCGTTTCCCTAGTCATTCTGTGGCAGATTTCGKAACCTACCAAKGTAAATTTGGCAAGTTTTAACATCCAAAGAATGCAGTCGATGCAATATTTTGCCTGTAGGTGCGAGTGACTTGGCACTTMTAAAAAAATTACTAAAGTAAGATTACTGGCCATTCCTTGTCTCATAGATGTCAATATTCCCAGGGTGCACTTGGGTCGTGCATTCGAGAAATGCTAGTTTGTCGAGGTGGACGTCAAAGGTGCGGCTCTTGTATTGCCTGTAGAGAATTATTCCGAATAAAAATCCCTAAATGCAAGAATAGGAGGATGTAGCTCTTCCAAAATGTCGATATTGTGCTAGAAAAGCATGAATTTCACGTTGCAAATTAAGTCAAAAAAGTGAGCTTTTCGCTGTTGTCCCAGGAAATGCAAAATTCGGAATTGAGCATCCACGTCAAGACAAAAGACTTATTCGACCAAAAAACTTGATTTCCTAGACATGCTTTTAATTGGAATATTGAACTTGTTGTCTTGYTGTCTTGTAAGAGCAAGTTTTTCAGAGGCATCTAGCCATTTTGGGAAATTATAATTTTTGGAGTCATCACTCCTGTGGTACTGATGATACCGATGGCCGTAGGAAAAGGGTTAAGTCCATGAAGTCCTATTACAAAAAACAACTGAACTTAAGGTTACTGCTCCSCTTTGCTAGAGTTTTCAAATTATCAAGTTTAAAAAATTAYTTAGCGTCTCGTATGATAATAACCATTGCACATTATGGTATATTAAASCTGTAYGACTGAAGAATAACTYTATGAATTTGGTTTAGCAAAATCGTTAATAGATTACTTATCAAAGATTACAAATCGCAAAAAGTTTGCATTAAAACCTCAACCTCGCTTTTTTCAATGGAAACCGTTTGGACCATAGTGGGGTRAAAAAACCGTGTGAGCGTTTTTGGATTTASATTTTCGTTTTGAAGTTATGGCGTCAAATATCAAATTTCACATCAAGAATTCGCACTTTTAACGTCCGCTTTAGGGATTATCCTTCCTGCAGGAACGATGCTTCTAAAAATTACAAGTTTCCGAGATCGCAAAAGAAGACCACCAAATGTACTCCATGACAACAGCTAGTAATAGAACTCTATCTTGGAGTTAAAAAGATTTCACATCAAGCGCGATACTTGGGCAAAATGGACCGCTGAARAATAGGAATGCCCAAATTTCGACTTTTTGGTGCACCAATATGGCTGGGAATCACGTCTTTTCGTCTCCAGTTATAGAGTCGAAATCATCTTTTGCAAATCGAAATTCTACGTTTTTTGAAATCGGCCACACTACATCTTGAGCATTTTCGAGTTTTTGGTTTGTAAAAGTTTCTACAGACCTTGCCAGAGCCCCCWTTTCGAGACCAAGCACAACAAACCCAGATTTCTCAGCTGCGCGTCCGAATTGCATCATGGGAAACGTGGTTCAAACTCGACAGGGAGCAACCAACGGTCCTGATTTCATGTTTCTCCATCTGCAAATGGTAAGATCTTCACGTCCTCTCGGATAACGACGTTAAATCGGAGGTCCCGTTTACTCTACTCTAACTCTGTAGTCTGCTGTAGTGGACGTTAAAGAACCACTGAGGACGCAGGTACGACCATCCTCAGTGCCTGTACTTCGGCCGCATAACCTTGAGGGCACTAACACACTAACACACTAACAAATCTAACGTACTCATCTTTGTAAACTGCACGACTGCTTAAAGCGCCTTCAATAACAGTCTGTCCAAGTCCCTCACTAACTAATGTAATTCAGATCATTGGTCTGCGAAATCTGGAAAGTCGGCCACATCCATCCAGTCCGTCCGTCCGTCCATCCAGTCCGTCCGTCCGTCCGTCCGTCCGACTAGGAAGACGACACAGAACGACTAGGGAGACGACCTTTCTCTAACGTCGGCAATTCAAAGCTAACTTCGTATTGGCGACATTGTCTTCGAAAAATCGCTTCCTGCCTCTGATTTCTTCCGGAAGAGTGTCTCTGCCGCCTAGTCGAGCTTTATAATGCAGTCCCAGGGGCTTCTGTGGCGACAAATGACTCAAAAAAACACTTTAAACGGTTTTTGGGCGAATTTGAGAGCGAGTGCTGGCTAATTTAGCGACCCATCTCAAATTCACCTGTCGTCGCTGATGTAAACAAACTCATGGGAATGTGAATCTACAATAGTTTGATTGACAACTCCTTATATGGGGTACATTTAATTTTTTGAAATATCAGTCTCAAAAACAACCTAAAATTGAAAATAAATCGCGGACGTTAAAGGGTTATAGCAATAACTCCGCAAATAAAAAMAACAATAAACTCTCACACGATTTTTAAGTTCAATATATAATGAACAATATACCTTACAAAGTTTGCTGACGAAGGATTAACGTCCGAAACGTCAGTAAGTTATTTCACATMCTTTTTTTACGGTGTAAAATTTATCGTTTTACACAACTGAAAAAATATATACTTTTTTTGATTTAACTTTTTAAAGATTTGGGTTTGATTTTTATTATCAATATGTAATTAATTACTTATTAAATATTATTACAAACCAATGTCATAGACGTTTAGATTATTGTGTTAGCTTCAAAACGATGTATAATATGCTTAGGTATTATTTAATAAAGCCAAGGATATGATTTTTTACTGTGGCACCCCACGAATGGGAGGAGTAACCTTGAAATGATTAAGTCTATATCTTATAGCCTGACCCTCCTCCCCMCTAAGCTTGCTGCAAAGCTGCAATTGTACAGCGTTTTAACGGACTTAGTGACCACGAGAGACTGGCTGCTCTTGCCAAGAACTGTTTTTA